TGTGGATGATGGTGGTATAATTACAAACAACTGACAGGCTTGTCACTGATTTCGATATGGACCATACCTTAGTTGTTGAACGAAGCTCATTTACTCTTACTCTGTTTGTACAGTATGTCAGCTGCACAAACATATACAGTACACATACTCCTTGGGGTAAAGTACATGTATATGTGATAGGAAGAGTACAGGGGGGGGGGGGGGGGTAAATCAGTTTGGTAAATTGGTGGAAATAGGGAGAGTCTTGAAAACTCAAAAGGGTCCAATGTTTAGGTGTTAATATGGGGTAGAAAGGATTAAACATGATTGTTATCAGTGGTGCATTATTGAAATGGGAGAATGAAGTTCTTGGTATGATTATTTATGAAAGACCAAGAGAAAAAGAGGTTATTTTAGACTGAGCGACAGAAGATATTTGGATGAGCAAGCTTCAATATAAAAAGATATGAGGAAAATTTGTTGTGTTTGCACCTACTTTAATGATGCATTTATTTTTATCCTTTACACACTGACTCAAAATGTATCTTCATGAGATATTAAAAAAGTGAGGCAGGTATTCATTCGTAACTTGCGAAAAACAAAGACAAATCTGTTATTTAAGCAATTTCAATTTCAGTGAAATGGTGATTATTTATCCTTGTTAACAGTGATAAAATCAGTGCGAGGCTATCAATTATATCCCAACGCCAAGTGACATAATTAAAATTGTACAATTGATGGATGTAAAGTGTGTTCAATTAGAGGTGCAGATGAAAAGAAAACCATGTCATACAGAACATCATCACCCTGGCCTTATGACAGAAAGTAACCATGACCTAAATGTAGCTGCATAGCTTACGACCCCCCTCTCTACAAATGCCAAGACATCATCAACCAGCGTCAGAGCGGAGCCTGCCGTTCCCATTTTCTTTTGCTCCCTAGCCACATCTTGGAGAGCTTTGAGCATGCTCGTTTGCACCACTTCGTGCTGCGCGCTACTCAAGAGGTGAATCACTCCTCTCTCTCTATTTCTCCTCTCGCATCTTCGTTCTCCATCCCTGTTGGATGTGTAGCCATAGCAACGTGGATTGCGTCGTCACCCAGGCAGCAGCATCTCCTTGCTCTGTCTTGCTCTATCCCTGCCTCTCCTCATTCTCTCAGCATGCGAGCATCTCTTCCGTGGAGCAGGAGACGGTGATTAGCGTTCGGAGGACGATGTAGACTTGAGATGTGATGTGCATGGTCTGAAGTATATTGCATGGCAAAGGGCAAAGAAAGCTGTTCGCTTGATCAAACATGGTTTCCTTGTCAGATGACGATGGTGCTAGCTTTCCGGAGCGTTCTGCTCATCATTTCTGCTAATTAAGGAGTTTATGAGTTTCTTGAGGACAGCTTAGAAGGTCGTTTGAAAGTGATGAGCTGCTGTGGATTGAGATGGAGGGACTCTTTTCTATGAGGTACATGTTGTACAAGATTGGCGATTGTTGCATGTTCATCTTGTAATGGTAGGGCCTACATGTTTGATATTCATCAACAATTTTGAGTGTGGTACTTGCATGTATTGTGTCTGTGTAAATATGTCCATTAACAAGATGAGCTGTGTCTCTATATCTTGTAAACCTGGAGCTACATGTACGTAGAATGACCAATGGTCTTATATTCATAGTAAATCAAAGTCTAAGCAAGAGGGACATTTAGAAATCAAATGCAGTGGATGAAAATATGTTTGATTACACTTGACAATCACCTCTCAATTTTGAATAACCATGTACTCTAATTTTCTTTTCATTAATACACTTGCATGTAATTTATTGACTTTCTAATTACCAGTAGAATAGTACTATTACTCTTTTAGTCAATTGTCAAATGCTTATTTGCTTTGTCAATAGTTGCTCGATAGACCTGCTTTCTGCTAATATTCCTAAACTCTTTGCCTCCCACATTTGAATACTCAGAACTTTCAAATGCCATTTGCTGATTCAGAATTCCACATGGAGTTCTTTGGCTGCGGCCCTAAGCAAATAGGCCATGTTAAATGGCACACATTCTGAATGGCATTCTTTCCCTTCCTCCTTCAGTTAACATATTCATATGCACAGTGAGTAAATAGTTCTCACCATTTCAAAGTGGCATGTGATGGATACTATCCCACATGGACAAATCTAGCTGCTCCCTAAGACGGTGCACATAGTAGTAGAACACTTACTTATAATACCAAGAAATATGATGTGAAATGAACTTTAAGACAATTTGCCAACCTTTGATTTTGAAGGTCTGGTAAGGTTTTAACACGTCAAGTCTCTTTGGTGAATATTAGAAATTCATGGATATTATTAGCCCTTTAGGAATGATTTTGAAAAGGAACATGGAAGGTTAGACTGTTAGACTAGATTTTTATAGATTAGCAATGGTTGTAGCTAAGTTTCTCCTCTTCTGTTTTTTCCTTTACTTACAAAGCATGTATTATAAATGCTCTCTGTATGTTTCATGTACTTGTAATGCTGTTGTCTTGAATATTGTTTTTTCATAAAATATTGATTATATCTACTTCAATGTAAGATGGAGAAAGTAAAAGAAGATAGAAGATAATAAGTAAAAAATTGTCAAGACATTGGATAAGTATTACAATACATTTTTATTTTTACTTGTCTTAATTTTGGTACCCTAATATTAAATACGAACGCAGGATTCACAAAGCCATCTTAGGTTCATCGAGAGTAGGAGAAGACATGTATGAGAGATGGTATCTAAAATGTGCAGTAGAAGTAGTCAAATACTAGTGTGTAAGAACAGTAAGATATACATCTTTCTGTTCTTACAAGGAAGGAATGAATGGAATGAAATAATGTAGAAATCTTTCCATCATATCTTTGAAAGAACAGAAATTCTTTTTGATGGAATCTTTGTCAGAGTTTCTACAATTGCACGTCTGGATTGTCAGTCGTGTTTGATTATGAGCGGTAGGGCAAACAGAGTCGTCAAATTTGTCGGCGAATCGCCTCGAGGCTCTGCGGGGAACGGGAGCATGGCCCTCCATCATCAACATAGCAATTAAGGGAGGGATGCACATCGGTGTCCGCTAAGAACCTCGTCCTACAACATAGGGATGGTGATCGGACAATCTCTGTCTTGTATTTACTCTTGGAGGTTCTTGTAGTCTCCTTACAGAGACCATGGGGAATACAGCACTGTAATGTACATGTAATGTACTCATTATACAGGCAGGCAATCCCCAACATTTTAAATTGCCAACTTGAATTTAGATATGTACATTTGGAAGAGCTCTTTATCACTTTTGATGTTTACAAATACTGTTTATTCTTGCAAAATATCATAGAGATAAACACAAGGAAGTTTGATTTTGCTGTTTACATGCACATAGTAGGTTAACATACATGTAGCACCTCATGTATCTTACAAAGACAAGAAATGATCATTGTAATCTCCATGGTAAATGGCAATGTCAGCAGCTATATATATTGTATATCTCTGTACACAATTTACATTTACACATGTAGGAAATAGTCAATGATAAGGCTTAAGGGTAGGCCATCCTTGTTGAACTGTGTGAAACTTGGAGCGTAAAGCATATGCGTTGGAGATATTGAATAGATTAGTGGTAGTCATGGCAACCAAACTCTTACATGTATGACAAAAGTTACAGGGTGCCAGCAGACCTACACTATGTAGCGTGCTATGGTATATATATTATTACTTGTGTTTGTAACAAGCTTTCTGATTGGCTAATCAGCTTAGTTATGGCTGCTTGCAGGTCTGTATCGTGCAAAATACTTCTGGGGAAATGATTAATGTCCAGGAAGGCAGGTTATGAGGGTGGTTGTAGAGGAAGAAGGGGAGGGGAGTGTAGGAGGGGGGGGGGGGGGGTGAATTGGCGTGGAGTATAACAGATTGAAAGTTAAAGAAACAAGATAAACCATGAAGTAAAATATCTAATAATAAAAATAATAATAATGAACAACCATTGATTATATCACAGGGTTTATTCTACATAAAATGTTTGCAAGTTTTCAATTGTTTCCATAAATGTGAACCTATGATAGCACTATATCACTTCTTGTGCCAACAGGATTTTCCCCCTTAAATATACCTTTGAGAAATGCTCAATTACGGAGAAGAAAACAAGTTTCTTTTTTGTTTGTATAATATTGATGGTGTATTGTTCAATGCTCGTGGGAAACACACATCTGATACACCAATCTTTTCTGTTGGTCCTCCCCAGATAGGCAACCCAAACAGTGCTACAGGATCAGAATGGCTGGCGGGGTTAGAAGGGTTAATTACTTTCACATGTGACCAGCCAAGCTTGTTTGGTTCCTTCTTCCTGTTTGGTATCAATCCACCAGTTTCCTAGCGAGATTTCCTGTGTCAGGAACTATTGTTGCCAGGATAAACTTTGTTAACTCACTAAAAGCACATGGATCGCCATAGAGGTGGTATGGTACGTATGGTACATTGTGTTAGTAAAGAGCTCATATATGACTAAGCATTTAATGTGTTATTGTAAGTAGGAACTATGACAATTGTAAAACACATCAAAGACCTTTTTTTTTATATACTACAGCCCCCTCTGGTATGACAGCTATGAAAACTTTCACAATGTGACTGCAGCCAGAATTGATCTTTCCAAGGTACATGTATAAATGGGAAACATAGTGAGAAACAAAATACTTTCTTCAGCCCAAACTAATCTTTAAGACTGGTACATGTATGACACCACTGGAAAATGAATATGTCATTTGACAGGAATAGAAATTAGAATGAGATTACAAGATATTGCCCAAGATTTAATCACAGTTGCAATTCTTAAAACCTATTGTTGTGACCATATACCTGGTGATAAACCTTTTGTTGGGATTCTTTTCTCAATCTGCTTTTTAAGTCAGTTTTATAGAGATTAAAGCAAGTTATAACATGCTTTAGTGTATGGTGCTTGCATAATATGGTTACTTGGGATATATTAAAAAACAGGTATATTAGAGTAAGTTGGAATAGGATTATAGGTACTGACTACTGACTGTGAATAAGCATGTTTGTTTTGTTTTTGTCTTGATAAATCCATCATTCTTGAAGAGTTACCAACAGGGTTTTTAATGTCTAGGGTAATGGTAGAAACTTCCTTGAAGTCTGATACCTTTTTATTGCTTGTGCTATTTTAGTGTTTCCTCTCAGCAGCAATGACCAGCCTTACAACAAAGAAACACAAAATGTGCCTGTATGAGGAAGATAAGATTCATAAATCTGTTGGCTTGCTTGCTATCCCATTGGGGAGGGACAGTGTGTTTGTGTGTGTGTGTCCCAGATGTGAAACCAGCTGCTTGGGCCAATCACAGAGCCTGATAGAAAACCCTTGTCAGCTCAGAGAGCTAGAGTTGATGTGATATGACTCACATTGAAAGCTCCACTAGTAGTACTCCTTTCCGTTGCTTGTCGGATCTACTCTGACTGCAGGCAGTACCATGTATGTACTGGGTACCACCATCGTTCAATCCCTCCTTCCCTAAGCCGCTAGCCAACACTGGAGGGCCATCCCCATGCGCCGCCGCTCTGCTGTCTTCCGTTCTTTTTTCTTCGTTGCGCGTCCTTTTCCTGTAGAGAGGATATCATTCATTGTCTGTTTTGCTAGTACCGAGTAAAACTGTATTTTATACACAACTTCAGGGAAGGATCTTTACGCCTGCGCATTAGCTGCGTTAAAGTGGCTTTTCTTTCTTTGCTCTGCCCATTCTGGATTTATATTAAGGAAATAATCACTCTTTCTTGGATTGTACTTTTGAATCAATTACGGTAAACATGGTTCAAAGAAATACACAGGTGAGTGCATGTTTTACATCTGAATGCTGCAGACTGTTTCCATAAAGTTTGATGTGTATGTATGCAATTGTTGTTGTTTTGTACATTCAGGCTTATATATGAAACCCATACAGATATCATTGACCAATTCACTAAATTTTGATGCAAGATTCTAGGTTGCATAAAGAAATACATTTTGCCTTGTTCGTCTTTTGTACAAGAATAGCCTCATGTAACTGATGTTGTCAAACCCAATGTTAAACAAGTGAGCAAATTACAAATAAACTGTTTAATTATAGATGCACCTATATGTTGTAGTAACAGAAGTAATCCTATTATACCTAACCATTTCTGATAAATTTATTTTTCACGCTATGAACCATTTGTTTGTTTCTTATCATTTAGACAAAGAGATAATAGGCTTACGTTGATAGAATGGTATCATATTAATCACAATCATTGATAGCCATATGGTAAAATCCCATGGGTTTTATAATTCAGAATTAATTTGTTAGAAATATATTGCCCTATTCACATCCATGAACACATTTATCAAAGTACTGGATGACTGTTTTGCATACAATTGCCAAACAAACATTGTGTATAGACAGATTGCTTAATGCAAGGTATTCATTTCATTGAATTCAATTTTCTTAGTATGATCATGATGTTAAGAATAGTTGCCTTCATTTTTGATATACCGGTACATCTTTGAGGGGGAAATATCTTGTTAAAAGAACTGTGAGGCATTAATTAACCACCACCACATGAAGCGTATATCAGACATCGGCCGGCAGTTGGTATTTTATGCCAATAGGTCATGTGTTTAATGGGGAAATTAACTTTTCAAAAAACAACAACTGGTACCCGACAATTCTGCTACATGGATCATTAAGAGCTTGAAGAGAAAAGATCCAAACAGTAATCAGATCCTCTGTCATTAAAATGGTTAAAACTACCTAGTAAAATAAGAGTAATATCAATTTCAAATTTAATAATTTAATAATTGTAACAAAAACCCCCAACAACACAAATGATATTAACACAATGGAAACATCATGATGTGTTGGTTGTGTTTTTTTTGTAAATCAAAGAAATGAAAAAATTAACACTGCGTTGAACTTGGTGATCTTAATCATTTAACTTAACCAAACTTCCCCTTAATTAGTAGCAGAAAACGAGGTTTTTGAAGATGTAACTGTTACACAAAGTAATACATGGTAGCATTGAATATTGTAAGTGGCTTACTGATGTAATT